CACGAGCAGAAAAAAAACCACACCTTTGGGACCACGTCTGATTTTGAATCCAAGCTGCTCCGACTTCTAGTCCTGTGGTTCAGGTTCCTTAACCTGAGACTGAGTTTTTTCACTGGACAGACGCCTGTTACTCAACTTTGCTGAGCCATTGGGGAGGTTTGATGAGCTACCTAGGTATTGGACGCAGCCAGGGCCTCTACAGACTGGAGTCTCTCCTGCTTTATGTTCAGGAAGGATGCATCCTCCCCGTCTGACCTGAGCTTACCTAAGTGATGAAATTGGCATACCCCCTCCACCCCCAACCCCCAGATCAGGCCAAACTCTTGTCCCAAAGCATCTCTGGGTCTCTGTCTGATTGCCTCGCCATGATGGGTCCAGCCCCCAAAGCTGGCAGGGAGAAAGTGAAGCCATGTGTGGGGGCCGGGGAGCCCACTAGATAATAGGGTTCCTTGGGGTTCAGGGGCTTGGTCAGCAGTTGAGGATTCCTGTGTAGGGTAGGGAGTGGAGTCTGGTCCATGGGGAGGGCTTGGTCACAGACGGCTCAGCGTCAGAACCCCTGAGCCTGGCCCACTTCCCAGCAGGTCTGGGTAGAGAACCTGAAGTGGGAGCCCAGCTGGGCAGCCTGGTCACCAGGTGCGGAAAGGGCAGCTGCAGCTGACAGTGACCCAACCAAGAGAGACCAGGGATGGCTCTGGATAGAGACCACTTCCCCTGTTAGGTCTTTGATGGACAGGGCCAAGCATCCCAGGAAGGGGCAGCTGTGTGCACGGGGGCCAGGGAACACAGGGACATGTGTGACCTGAGAGAAAGTCTGAGTCCTGAAGGTTCAGATGGGAGGCTCACCTCTGGCCAGGCCCTGCAGCTGGCGGAGGACGAGGACGCCATGCAGGTGCGTCTGTGTGTGCAGAGCCTCACTTGCAGCCAGGCCAGAGAGACTGCGAGCACCCACAAGGAGAGGGTAGGGGGAGGCAGAACCTTCGTGTTCTTCGGGAGGGGAGGGACAGGAGGACGCTGGGACCTCCCCTGGGAAACCAAAGCAGAAGAGGAGGGAGCAGCATGAAGACAGGGTGATGGGGCACCTGAAGTGACAGGCACCCTCCAGCACAAATGCGGGGGGGGGGGTGTTGGTTGGAGGGGCTGATGAGATCACAGGAGACTTGGGAAGGATTGAGCCAGAGGGGCTGCTGGCCTCTCTCCCTTCACCTTTGGCAGCAGCAGGGAGTCTGCGGGTCCCCTCTGCCCCACAGAACAGGTGCCACGGTACCTCGCCTCAACTTCCCGATAAAAAAACGCGCCCCTCAACAGCAGATAGGTGCGCGAATAAGGGAGCTGACAGCACATCCTGCTCCAGAATGAGTGACATTTGGAATTGGCACCTTCCCAACCACCCCCTTCAACATCCCTTCTGGTCATCAGCGTCCAACTCAGCCTGGGATGAGCAGAGCCCTGGCAAGAGAGTAGAGGCTGCAATAGAACCTTCTGGGTGACTAGCTGGCCACGGTGGGGAGACGTGCCCAGGCCCAACATGCAGGTTCCACAGAGCCTGAGACAAGCTTCCAGGGAGCCCCTGGCTGAGTGCGCTTCAAGACTCCTGGCAAGAGGGAAGAAAGGAAATCAGGGAGCAGGCTCCCCTCCAGCTCCGGGCCAGCCTGTGCAGGCTTTGTCTGCAGCCCAGCTTCCTCCTGAGTCGGGCGAGGGGCTGCAGAACATCTGGTGGTTTCTGGTGTGGGTGGAAAGAGGCCCCCAGGGCTCAGCCTGCTGCCAGTGTTCATCCCTGTTAGCAAGCCGGGAGTTGCGGGCCCAGAGGGCGGCGGTACCACCAGCTCCCTGGGGAGGAGGCTGCAGGCAGCCCCACCTCTTCCCTGCAATGACCCCCCCCCCCCCCCCCCCGCCTGCACAAATTCTCTTCTGGCCCCTAGGATGGCCCTGGCAGATGGCCTGATGAGAGTTAAGCCCAGCCCCCAGTGCAGGCTCATGGCTCCGGAGAGCTGGCGGACCTGTCCCTAGCCTGTCACACCTTCTCAGCTGGTCCTGCCCCATTCTGGCACCTTAGAAGAAGCTCCGCCTCCCTGCCGGGGGGGCCCCCGGGCCCCCCGCATCTTCTCAGGCCACTACAGTCCTCCCATCCCCAACGCACGGTCCCCCACCCCCCGTCGGAGTGACAGCTGCTGGCTTTGGGGCAGGCGGGGAACCCATCTGGGGGAGAAGGGGCCCAGGGGGCCAGACGTCCCAGGCCTCAGGGGGCCGGGGTCTTTCCCTTAAAAGGCCAACTGATCTAACACTCCCGGCCTAGCCCAGGACCTACTGTCCCCTCCAGACCTTTGCAAGCCACAACTCTTTCACGCATAGCACAAACATTTATTGAGCGTCTATTATGCCGAGAGGGGCTTCCAACCCAGCAGTGAGGACAGACAGCAGGGGGAGGGGCGTACGGCACGCTGCGCCTCGACCCGGGAGGGCGGCCCCCGCCAAGTCCGTGGCCTTCTTGACCCTGCATCCCCGGCGGGGCCCCCGTGCCACGCAGGCTCTCTCTGTGGTCGCCACCCGCTCTGCACGCCAAGCAGAACACTGAAAAGCAACATTGGGAGGAGGGGGGAGAGGCGAGAGGGGAGAGCACAGGGAAAAGTCTCGTAGCCCGCACGCCCTTGGCCTCCTAAGGGCTCGGGAAGAAACGGTCGAGGGAGGGGGCCTCCGCGACCCGCCACCCGCGCGCTGCGCTGCGCGCGCCCAGCCGTGGCAAGGTCCGGAGGGAGGAGGCTCCCGGCTCGCGGTGACTTCGCTGGGGAGGGGGCCGCCCGCGCGGGCTCAGGACGTCCCCGGCTCCCGCTGCCCCGCGCGCCCGGCCCGCCGCCGCCGCCGAGCGTGCCAGCACAGGAAGGCGGCGGCCAGGAGCCCGAGGCCCGCGCCCAGCGCGGCCAGCGCCACGCCCTGCTCCGGGTCCAGGCGAGGTCCGCGCAGCGAGAAGGTGATGGCTGTGGCAGCGGCGCCGGTCACCAGGGCCACAACGCCGAACGGCAGGACGCAGCGCGGCCAGGAGCCCCCCACGCCGCCGGTGGCCAAAAGCAGCGCTCGCAGGGCCCCGGGGGGTTCGGGGGACGCGAGGGGCTCGGCAGGGGCCGCGGGTGGGGGCTCGGGTGCGCTCATGCCGCCGACGCGGGGGCCGCGTTCAGGGTGGGTGTGGGAGCCCGCGCAGACCCCACTCCCGTCCTCGACCGCCACGTCAGTGCGGATTGGCCCGGGATGCGGTGACGCCACCGGGACGCCGAGGAGAGGAGTTCGCTGCCGCCTCCTGGCTTGGCGTTGAATCTGGGTGGGCGGGTGCAATCTAGAGGGGGCGCCTACCCAGACCTTTGCTCTCATCCTTCCAGACGCTACGGGGGTCACCTCCCTGCCCAAGTGCGGGCAGGACAGCCCTCCACAAAGACATCACCAGGACTGGTCCTGATAGGTGGGTCATCGAGTCCACAACCTTTGGGCACCCATCTGGGCCTGGCCAGGGATCGAGGTGGACTGCACCCCTGCCCTCATGGGGCAAAGGTCCAGTAGGGAAGGTGCATAATAAACCAAGTGAACTGGTGGATTAAATAATTTTGGTGGAGGCCACTGGTTATGGAAACTAATTTTCGGGTGGCCAGTGACAGGGTGGTGGTGGGACTCACCCTGGATATGAAGGGTTCCTCAAGATCAGAGTAACTGGGCATGAGCTCTGGAGACAGTGATGACAGTGGTCAGGAGAGGGGGGTGGCTGTCCCCAGGCTCCCTATCTCTTGGCGTCCCTTCTCTGTTCCTGCGCTGGGCAGTGGACATTGCTATTCCAGTCCCTAGAGGCCCCTCAGTACAATGAGGAGTGGTTTAGGTTTCCTACATTGGTCTATCATCTGGTTCCCAGCAGGCCACAAAACCTGGGATTCCATGTTCAAGATTTCTGGCCTGTGGGACTGTGGGGGCTTTTATAAGAAGGACTTCCTGCTGCGGCCCAGAGCTATCTCGAGGCTGCTTCAACATCACTCGGTCCTTCCCCCATACCTACTACCCCTCATTGGCTCTCAGGAAACCAGGGCTTCTCCAGGGGTTTCCTGGGTCTGGATCCCCCTGGGGCAGAGGCTGGTTTTATTCCCTAATTGCTCATCGCTGTCCACACAAAGGGCCAATGCCCCAGCTCTGAGGATCGTGCTCTGCACAAGTGATCAGTAACGGTTTTTGTTTAATATAATGCTTATTTTTGAGAGACAGAAAAGATGAGCGGGGGAGGTGCAGAGAGGGGGACAGAGGCTCTGAAGCCGGCTCCATGCTGACAGCAGAGAGCCGGATACTGGCCTTGAACTCACAAATGATGAGATCGTGACCTGAACCAAAGTCAGATGCTCAACCGACTGACCCACCCAGGCACCCTCAGTAGAGGCTTAAAGAACACCAGACTCCCAGGCCTCACCAGGGCCCAGCACTGTGTAATCTGTCCTCACCCCCGACCCAGCGGTAATAACCACTGCTGTGGGTGCGCGGGCTCCTTGGGAGCATCCGGGGGTCATCTGAAACTGGCCCCCACGTGCAGAGGGCAGGGAGAGACTGAAGGAGGCAGGCCATTCCAGCCGGGCGAGTGGCGGGGTCAACAAGCAAACGGGCCTTACCTACAAGACGCGTCCTGGGCTGCGGCACCCGCCCGCCAGAGCTTAAAGGCTGATGTCGCGGGAGGCCCTCAGCGGGCTCGGCCGTGTACCCCGTGCAGGTGTTTAAAGTATCACATCACTACCTCAAGGCTGTGTCCTCGGAGCAGCCCCTGGGAGTGACGAGGCAAGTGGAACCCACATTCCGAGGACAGGGGAGGGGGCGAGGAGCCTCCCACTGCCCAGATCCAGCTCACGGGTCAACGGGTGGTCACGTCTCTTCAATTACCTCTCCCAACAACTAACCCCAGAATGACAGTGAGGACAACACTGGGCCCTTGAGAATCTTGCTAAAAGTCCCACAGCAGCAATTAAGAGTAAGCCCAACCCTGTGACTGGTTTAAACCCAGAGGTCGTGACCTCGACCTGTAAGTTGTTTTTTGTTCCACAAAGCAAGGATTCCTTCAGCAGGGGAGGCAGGGGGGAGGGTGCCCACGCTGGCCACAGCAACAGCTGTGGGGTTGGTGAGCACAGATGCCACGCGGTGCCCACCCACTCTGGTATAGGCTTGTGGCTTTTGTGTTTTCCCATGAGCCCAGTACAGTCTAGGGGATTGGAGGGAGGGGTTTCAGGTGTGCTGGGGCCAATGCTGGCAGAAGTCCCCAGTCCTGCTCGCCTTCAGTGGCCTTTCCCTCCCTTCAGTACGTGTTCTCAGTGAATACACCTGATGCGTCTTGGTGAGCAAAAACACGCATCAAGTCCCATCTTAGTGTGATTTCAATATACGTACTTGCTAAAGTAGTGTTAATGTCACACGAGTGGCTTATAGATCTAAAGCGAGAAGAAACAGGAGTACCACAAAAAGCCCCAGAAAGGCCTCCGGTCTCAGCCTGGGGAAGGCGAAGCCAAGCAGAGGTCTGACTACTCGCTTTAGCTGCTGTGAGAAGGGCCCTGGGTTCCTCAGGAAGAGCCAGGGGACTGTCCTCAACCCACCTGGGAAAGCTGGTTTACCAGGGTGGGTACACCATCTCTGCATCGGAAATCCTCTCAGTCCTTGTTAACTAGTGGGGGGCAGGGAGTGGTCTCCCAAGAGTCTCAGTGTCCGAACAAGGTCACCCTCATGCCAGGGTCCCGAGGCCTGGGAACGGGGCTCGGGGGTGGCAGCCGGCCACGGGAAAGGTTCAGTCGGCAGGTTCATCTCGAAGGACGGTGAGGAAGCGCTCCCCTCCCTCGCAAAGCAGGCTGTGCACAGCTCGGCAAAGCGCTAGCCAGTGTGGCCTCTGTGTGCCCACCAGGGGGAGGAGTTCCGCCATCAGGACCTGAGGGGTAACGAAGAGTTAAGATCTCAGGAGGGCCCGGGCCCTGTCCGGGGAGGGCTCACAGAAGGCCCTGAATTGAGGCAATTCCAGGGCGGGCTTCAGGCATGTGTTCCAGCCCCTCCCACCTTCTAAAGCTCTGCCCCTGGGCCAATGCTGTGTCAGCATGCACACAAGCCCAGAAGCCCCATCTTCAGATGGACCGAAGCCCACGGCTCCCCCGTCACCCAGTCTCCACGCCCCAACTCCGGAAGTACCTTTTCCAGGTGGATCTGCTGGTCCAGCATGGCCACCCGAAGCCTCAGGGCCTCTAGAGTCTGCAACTCCTGGGTGCTGGAGTAGAGAAGAAGCTGGGGGCTCCAGATAGGGTCTGTTCCTCCTCCGCAGGGCAGTGAGGCTCCGGGGCGTCTCCCCACAGGCCACGGCCCCAGCTGCTGTCCCACCACTGCTGTGAAGGCAGGGGGAGGTGGACTCGTGGGGTGGCAGCCAGGGACCTCCTCCCCATCTGCCTTTGGTGGGGGCAGTGCAAAGTCAAAGGTTTGCCTCCTAGACGAAGCCTCGTTATCTGTAAAAAATCATCTCTAGTGACACGAAGCAAGCCAGGGGCCGGTATGTCTCTGCTTCTCACACGCCACCCTCAGTGACTAGGAAAATAAGCCGACTGTTCGCAGAGCCAGGGCCCGTCAGGGGAGGGGCGGGGGGGGGGGGGGGATGTGGGGGGGCGTGGGGGGGTTCTGGGGGGGGGGGGGGGGGCGGAAAAGACCTGCCCCCCGTGTCCTCCGCGCCCCCGCGGCGGGGAATGCGGCCGT